TTTTGTATATTTAATAATTCCTGCATTACAGAAATAAATCCTCCTTGATCATAATGTATAATCCCTTTAAACTGTTGCTGAAGATGGTTGGCTAGTATTTTGTGCTGACTTTTTGAATCTTTTTTTTTGTTTGTTTGTTTGTTTTTGAGACGGAGTTTCGCTCTTGTTACCCAGGCTGGAGTGCAATGGCGCGATCTCGGCTCACCGCAACCTCCGCCTCCTGGGTTCAGGCAATTCTCCTGCCTCAGCCTCCTGAGTAGCTGGGATTACAGGCATGCACCACCATGCCCAGCTAATTTTTTGTAGTTGTAGTAGAGACGGGGTTTCACCATGTTGACCAGGATAGTCTCGATCTCTTGACCTCATGATCCACCCGCCTTGGCCTCCCAAAGTGCTGGGATTACAGGCGTGAGCCACCGCGCCTGGCCGACTTTTTGAATCTTAAAATTTTAGTGCAAGTAAAGAAGGAAGCATATTTTTCCCTGGTAATTATGATTGAGGTATGCAAATTTAAGTTAGAAACTTTAAAGAACAGCGATTTTACATATTATTATAATATGTTCCATGTTTTAACAGTAATTATTAAAGAGGCAATGAACTTGACATTGTACCTCTGTGAATGGTATAATTAAACATTTTACAAATGTAATAGAACAGTTTGAATTTTATTTTCCCTCAAATGAAAATCCCTGCATAGGAAAATCATGGATCTGAAATCCATTTTTCCACCGAAGATGATTTAAAATTTAACTATTATACTATGGGATAAATAGATAACCAAGTCGTGAATGCAAAGAAAGTCTTGAAGGAAATTAAAAGTGCTACTTCAGTGAACATGCAAATGATGAGAATGAAAAACAGCCGTACTGCTGATGTGAAGAAAGTTTTAGTAGTCTGGATAAAAGACCATAACGGCCACAATAATCCCTGAAGTCAAAGCCTAATCCAGATCAAGTCCCTAACTCTCTTCAATTCTACAGAAGACTACAGAAGAAAAGTTTGAAGCTAGCAGAGGTTGGTTCTTGAGGTTTAAATAAATAAACCATCTCGGCCAGGTGCAGTGGCTCATGCCTGTAATCCTAGAACTTTGGGAGGCCAAGGCGGGTGGATCACCAGAGATCAGGAGTTCGAGACCAGCCTGGCCAACATGGTGAAACCCTGTCTCTACTAAAAATACAAAAATTAGCTGGGCATGGTGGCACCTGTAATCCCCACTACTCAGGAGGCTGAGGCAGGAGAATTGCTTGAACCTTGTGAGGCAGAGGTTGCAGTGAGCTGAGATCATGCCACTTCACTCCAGCCTGGCCAAAGAGTGAGACTCATTGAAAGAAGGAAGGAAGGAAGGAAGGAAGGAAGGAAGGAAGGAAGGAAGGAAGGAAGGAGCCATTTCCTTTTTTTTTTTTTTTTTTAAGGCATCAAAGCCAGAAAGGAAGGAACCATTTCCATAATGTAAAAGTACAAGGTGCGGAAGCAAGTGCTGATGTAGAAGCTGCAGCAAGTTATCCAAAAGATCTAGCTATTTCGTTAGTACAGGTGGCTACATTGAACAACAGATTTTCATCGCAGATGAAACAGCATTCTGTCGGAAGAATATGCTATCTAGGACTTTCATAGCTAGAGAGGCAATGCCTGTCTTCAAAGCTTCAATGGACAGGCTGACTGTCTTGTCAAGGGCAAGTGCAGCTGATGACTTTAAGTTGAAATCAGTGCTCATTTAGCATTCCCCAAATCCTAGGGCCCTTAAGAAACATGTTAAAACTACTCTGCCTATACTCTATAAATGGAATAACAAAGCCTGAATGGTAGCACATGGTTTACTGAATATTTCAAGCCCCCTGTTGAGACCTATTGCCTGGAAAAAAAAGATTCTTTTCAAAATATTATTACTCATTGACAATGCACCTGCTCACCTAAGGGCTCTGATGGAGGCTTAAGAAATTAACATTATTTTCATGCCTGCTAATCCATTTTGTAGCCTATGGATTAAGGAGGAATTTCGACTATCAAGTCTAATTATTTCAGAAATACATTTTGTAAGGCTATCGCTGCCATAGATAGAAATTCCTCTGATGAATCTGGGCAAAGTCAATTGAAAACCTTCTAGAAATGATTCACCATTTTAGATGGCATTAAGCACATTCATGACTCATAGAAACAAATCAAAATATCAACATTAACTGAAGCTTGAGAGGAGTTGATTACAACCCTCATGGATTGTAACTTTGAGGTGTTCAAGACTTCCCTGGAGGATACAACTGCATATGTGGGACACATAGCAAGACAACCAGAATTTGAAGTAAAGCCTGAAGATGTGACTGAATTGCTGCAATCTCTCTCTCTCCCTGTCTCCCTGTCTCTTTTTTTTTTTTTTTTGAGACAGGGTCTCACTCTGTTGCCCAGCGCAGGCTGGAGTGCAGTGGCATGACTGTGGTTCGCTACAGCTTCGACCTCCTAGGCTAAAGCAATCCTCCCACCTCAGCATCCCAAGTAGCTGGGACTACAGGTGCACATTTCATCCATCTAATATTTGTATTTTTTTGTGTGTGAAGATGAGGTTTCACCAAGTTTCCCAGGTTGGTCTCAAACTTCTGAGCTCAAGCAATCCTCCTGCCTTGGCCTCCCAAAGTGCTAGGATTAATGCTGCAATCTTATGATAAAACTTGAACAGATGAGGAGTTACTTCTTATGGAGGAGCAAAGAAAGTAGCTTTTTGAGATGGAATCTCTTTGGGAAGATTCTGTGAACATGACTGAATGGCAACAAAGGATTTAAAATATTAGTTGATAAAGCAGTGGCAGGGTTTGAGAGGATTAGCTCCACGTTTATTTGTTTATTTATTTATTTATTTTTCTGAGACAGGGTTTCTTTCTGTCACTCAGGCTGGAGTGCAGTGGTTCACTGCAGCCTTGACCTGCTGTGCTCAGTGGATCCTCTTCCTCAACCTCTTGAGTAGCTGGGACTACAGGCATGTGCTGTCACCACCTGGCTAATTTTTTAATTTTTTGTAGAGACGGGTTTCACCATGCTGCCCAGGATTTGTAGCCAAATTTTAACATCAGGGTGTGTACACCTGTTTTTTAGACATAATGCTATTGTGCTTTTAATATATTACAGTTTAGTGGAAACATGTTTATTATATGTACTAGGAAACCAAAAATTTGAGTGTGGCTCTCTTTTTTGCAATGGTCTAGAACTGAACCCCCACTATCTCCAAGGTATGCTTCTAATTGACCAAACAGGAAGTAATCTCGTGGGTTTCACATTAAAAGCTTTAAACATTTATATATCTGTTATTCATATAGAGTATGCTTATAGGTATTTACTATGTAAAATTGTAACTCATAACTTTGCTTTAGTTAACAGTTGCAGAATACAAAGTTATTGGCTGGTCGAGGTGGCTCACACCTGTAATCGCAGCACTTTGGGAGGCCGAGGCAGGTGGATCACCTGAGGTTGGGAGTTTGAGACCAGCCAGACTAACACAGAGAAAACCCATCTCTACTAAAAATACAAAATTAGCTGGGCATTGTGGCTTATGCCTATAATCCCAGCTACTTGGGAGGCTTAGGCAGGAGAATCTCTTGAACCCGGGAGGCACAGGTTGCAGTGAGCTGAGATTGTGCCACTGCACTCCAGTCTGGGCAACAAGAGCAAAACTCCATCTCAAAAAAAAAAAAAAAGTTATCAGTAGAATAGCCAGTCTCTGTAAGAAACACATATTGGTAAATTTTCTCTAAGCAAAGTGTGCAGTTTGTAAATTATTTTCTTTCTATTTGTTCTGATTGTTTATTAAGTGTAACTTTATGTCTGTCAAAATAAATATTTAAAAGTAAGCTTACATTTTGCACGTTTTTAAATTTCATTTTTCTGTAATTTTTTTCTTTTCTTTTTTTGAAACAGTGTCTTGCTCTGTCACCCAGCCTGGAGTGCAGTAGTGTGATCTCAGCTCACTGCAACCTGTCTCCCAGGTTCAAGTGATTCTTGTGCCTCAGCCTCCCAAGTAGCTGGGATTACAGATGTGTGCCACCACACCTGACTAATTTTTGTATTTTTAGGAGAGATGGGGCTTCACCATGTTGGCCAGGCTGGTCTCGGACTCCCGAGCTCAGATGATCCACCTGCCTCTGCCTCCCAAAATGCTGGGATTACAGGCGTGAGCCACTGCGCCCAGGCAGCCCTTTTTTTTTTTTTTTTTTTTTTTTTTTTTGCGGGGGTAGGGGGGGACAGGGCCTCACTCTGTCACTCAGGCTAGAGTGCAGTGGCTGCAATCTCAGCTCACTGAATGAAGCCTCAACTTCATAGTCTCAAGCGATCCTCCCACCTCAGCCTCCCTACTAACTAGGACTCCAGGCATGGGCCACCACGCTCGGCTAATTTTTAAAAATCTTTTATTTTTTATAGAGATGGGGGTATTGCTATGTTTCTCCCTGTCTCCTGGGCTCCAGTGATTCGCCCGCCTTGGCTTCCCAAAGTGCTGAGATTATAGGCGTGAGTCACTGCGCCTGGCCTCGACTAATTTATTTTTAATGTTAATTAAGTATCAGTCATGGACAGATTGGAAAAAGGAAAAACAACTGATCCTTCATCATGATTGTGAGTAGCACTGGTCTACACAGCTGGACTGCTCCTTGAAGCCTGACACTGCATTTTATTCAAATTTTCCTGACAGTGGGACTTAGGCAATTATATATTGAATGAATAAAAAAATTTTCACTCTGCTGCTGGGTCCAGTGCTCTCATAAAATGTGTCTCATAATTCCTCAATGATTAGCCTTGGTAACATTTACTGAAGTTTATTAGATGCAAGGATCCACGCTACGCCCTTCACCATTCATTCCCCCTCCCAAGCTCCCACGTTCTCCTTCTATGGGGAGGGGGCGTGCCCAGCACCACGGCCCGCCCTACCTGTGCATTCGTTGGTCGAGCTCGATGCCCGTTACTACCGAGTCCCGCCCAGGCCCTGTCCCCTCGTAGTCAGCCAGGCAGAGAGGAGGCGTGGCCACTGCCGTGCCGGGGCGGTCCAGACAGTCTATTCTCTCGTGAGACTCCGGGCGAGCTCGCTGGCGGGCTGTGGGTCGCAAGCCGCCGTGGGAGCGCATGTCGCGGTCTCGAGGAGCCGCCGGCTGCCGCCCCGCCCCGCCCCCTTGGCGCGCAGGTACCACGCGAGCTCGCGCGCGCGCACACGCGCGCGCACCCGCCGGAGGCTTGGTGAGGCCCGCGGGCACGGGGTGGGCGGAGGCCGGGCTGCCGGAGTGCAAGGGGAGGAGCCCAAGCCGTCGCTGCAGCCGCTGAGGGAGAGGAGCATGTCTGCAACTCGAGCCAAGAAAGTGAAGATGGCCACCAAATCATGCCCCGAGTGCGACCAACAGGTGGGCGCCGGGGGCCAGGTGCGCAGGCGGGCGGCCGTGGCTTGGCAGCCGTGTCCGTGGAGGGGCGGCCTCACCAGGCTTCCGGCGGCCGAGCGGTGGGCAGGTCCTGAAGCCCGGCTGCGGCGGCGGCTGCTGGGGGTCCGGGGCTGGTTGGGCTGCGCCGGGGGGTTTCCTGAGAAAAGCCCGGGGCCGTGGCCAGTCAGTGCCCACCTGGCTGCGGCCAGACGGCCGAGCCCCTCCGGCTGTGTCCCGGCCGCCGGGGGAGCGCGCCTGTGGTGGGCGCATCCGGCGGCTGTCGGGAGCCCGGGACTCGTCTAGCAGGCGGCTGTGACAGCGGTGGGAGCCTGCGGGCCGCAGCCCCGGCAAGAGTGCGTCGCGCGCCCGCCTCCGAGGCCAGGCCTTGGCTTCGAGAGCCCCTCCTGCCGCCTGGGCGGCTTTGTTCCCGGTTCCGACGGGTGCGGGGTTCCCCCAAAACGGCCTCTCCGCGACCAGGGCGGGCGCCTGAGTGGGACAAAGGCGGCCGCGTGTAATGATTTTGAGTTTTGCCAAATTTGGAGAATTTTTTCCCCCTCTTAATGTATTTATTATGTTTTTGCTGTGCGATCGCGTATCGTGTCTTTACATTGTTTTTAATGGTTCATGAGTGAATAAGGCCCCCATTTAAGCCTTTCATTTTGGGGCACTCGTTACTTCCCCACCCCTCGCAGTTTCCACTGTTACAAATGTAGCCTGTCTGCTTCCACATCTTTATCTCTGTCTGTGTCTGTCTGTATCTCTATCTATATATCTATATCTGTCTATCTGGCTTCTTGAATTTGAAACGGTTCCTTTCTACCCTTAGTTCATGGTGTAATGGTTGTAATTTAAAACGTCTCATTTCAGTGTTCCCTGTGTTGAAGCGTGTCTCATTTCTTTACTGGATTAATAGACATTCCTTTAAGCCTCACCATCTAATGAGTTAAAACCCCTTCAATTAAAACCATTCGTAAGGCCCTCATTTGTTACCAACATGTAGATCCGTGTGTTTTTTCCTTTTCCACGAGTGAATTTTTTCAAAATGACTACCTTTCTCTCTTCCCCTCCCTTTTTTTTTTTTTTTTTTTAATCAAGAGTAATTTGCAGTGGCTAGAGATTTTTTAAAAAACTGATTTTAGTGCATTTTTCAAGGAGAATTCTTATAGGTTGATCAAATCTTCTAACAGAAAACATGTTACATGTTTTATTAAGTATCCTTTATGGACTGTAGTAAAATGCTGATCAGAAAAATGTTGTGCAAGAAATACTGTATAGGAGCTATACTAGTGTGCAGTATAAAAACAATTTATTTTCATTATTAGTTATTTTCATTCTTACTACTAAACTAAATTTGTTAAATTTGGACAAAATTGGACTTTGTGATATGACTCTTTGCAGGAGATTATTTCAGTGTTTAAATCATTTCCAGTTATTCCAGTTAATTGTGTAGAAGTATTAGGTTTATATGGTATGCATTATGCATTCCAGTTTCTGTAAGGCACAAGTATTTGCAAATCCTGACCTTGTTCTAATTGGCATAAAGCAACCTTTTGGGAAAAAATAGCCAATTTTTAATGGCTATTTTTATATAAAAGAACAAAGGATAATAAACTTATAGGAGTTTCTGAAAAACTGTTCAACAAAACAAGATCAGCATTTTATTTGGAAAGATCATATTCATTTTGTTATATGCCCCCTCCCCCATATATATTCTTTCTTATAAAATCAGCTTACTGAGCTTTGGCCGCCATAAGAAAATACCATGGACTGTGGCTTAAACAGTAGAAATTTATTTTTTCACAGCTCTAGAGGCTAGAAGTCCAAGATAACAGTGCAAGCATGATTATGTTCTGGTGAGGGCTCTCTTCTTGGCTTACAGATTGCTGTCAACTTGGTGTCCTCACAAGGCAGTGAGAGGGTCAGGCTCTCTCTCTTTTCTTAAAAGGACACTAATTACATCATGAGGGCCCCACCCTCATGACTTAATCTAAACCTAATTACCTCTCAAGGTAGGGGGAGGGCCCATAATTCTGTCCATTTCAAGCTAGCACATAATTTAATGAGTTGGTTTCTTCTGTCCTTTATTCCAAATACTTAATGACTATAACATATATGAGGACTAATTAAAACTTTTGGTGATATGAACCTGACGTGAAGAAATAATGGGTTAATTTTAGCTTTCTAATTATTTAAAGGTACCAGCTTCTTTTAGTTATAAACCAGAATATGATTATAATCCAGAAAGCCATTTTCTAAACATTAGAATACTGCTATGATTCTAAGTTGCTTAAAAAACATTAAATTAGAATTTGGATATACTTTATAAACATAAATGTAAAATCTTTAAATTTGATATTTCCCTAGTTGACTAGATTTACTTACGCTGTATAAGTTTGAAAAACTGGTAGAGATCAGCAAACAAGAAAAAGCTATATTTTCAGGGGCTTTGAAACATTTTCTTTGCAGGCTTCTACTGAAAATATCGTTTTAAAACATCTTAAACCACAGTGCTTTTCATTTTCAAGGGGTTTCATATTCATCAATCACTCAAAATTACTGAGCCATCTTGTCAGTTTTCTGGTGTCTTTTGTGTATGCTTCTGTTTTTGCCTTCATTAAAAAAAAAGAAATTTTTAAAAATTTAATGGAAACTTTATGTGATGTATAGCAAATATGTCTGGCATAAGTTCTTTTGGTTCTTTCAACAGTAAAGAATATAAATGAGTTATCTGTAATGTAATTATTTTAGAGCTTTTAACAAAATCAGTGAAACACTATAGGTCCAGATTTTTTTTTTTTTTTTTTCAGAGTTTAAAAATCTGTTTTACTTGTAGAACATATGAACAACCTAAATCTTTTTTCAAAAAGTGAATTAATGCCCAGTAAACTATCAATAAACAATACTTTGAATATTTTTTTCCCTTTAAAATCCTGAAAGTGTATTTCATAATGTTAGAATTTCATTACTGTTATGTTTAGTATTATCAACTGAAATTTAAAGAAACCTTAGTGTGTTTGTTTAAAATCTAAATTATGCTATAATTAATGTAATGAGGTTAATATTATTGAAGTTGTCCACCCTATTTCATAATTCTTTTTACAGGATCTAAGGTGGTGGTGGTGGTGGAGGTGTGTTTATTTTTTGTTTCCAGGGCAGAGGTCGTGGGGAAGGAACTTTTTATTTTAAACAGGACTATAGAGTGAATTAACTCAGGTACATGAAGGTTTATTGAGCATAAAATGCTTTCGTTTGTGGAGGAAAATCAGCCTATCAATTCAGTTAGTCAATGTTTGTACATTGTGGGTCCCAAAACCAAATGTTTCTCATCTAACTGCAACACTGTTAATTCTGGATATGGGTTGATACAATGTTTTTTGGAAGAGACTGAGACCTAAATTCAAATTTATTGAGTTCCAGTAGCTGGAAGAAAATGCTTGCTGATTAGGAAAGGAGCTGTTGAGCAAGAACATGCTTTTGTGTATCTTGGGTAGCATTAATTTAAAACAATTTACATTACTGTGGATGCTCTTAATAATACGTTTAGGTGTAAAGGAAATGAGTCAGTGCCTTTGAGCTTGGTTTCTATGAAGATATGAAATTTGAAAAAAATGGCAAACATCTATTTTAGACAGATTAACACTGTTTAAAAAAATGTAACATTTTTTGTCATGATTTGAATGTATCTCATCACATTTTTATTTATTTATTTATTTTTGGAGACAGTCTCACTCTGTCGCCCAGGCTGGAGTGCGGTGTCCTGATCTTGGCCAACTACAATCTCCGCCCCCTGAATTCAAGCAATGCTCTTGCCTTAGCCTTCTGAGTAGTTGGAACTACAGGCATATGCCGTCATGCGCAGCTAATTTTTTTGTATTTTAGTAGAGATGGGGTTTCATTGTATTGCCCAGGCTGGCTTCGAACTCCTGAGCTCAGGCAGTCTGCCTGCTTCGGCCTCCCAAAGTGTTGGGATTACAGACGTGAGCCACTGCACCTGGCCATCACATTTTTAACAAAGCAAGCTGTTAGGCAAATCTGGAGTTTGATTATTTTGTGGATTTCTTTGTTATTTTAACAAAATACAAACTAGAGATCCGTTGTTCAATGTTTTTATATAGAGAAAAGGAATTCTTCTGCCAAAATTTCAATTTAGCTTAATTAGATCAAGTATTTATATTCTATAACATGAGACATTCTGTACATACATAGATAAAAAGTGTCATAATTTTAACTCAGTTTTTTTTTTTTTTTTTTTTTTGAGGTGGAGTTTCGCTCTTGTTACCCAGGCTGGAGTGCAATGGCGCAATCTCGGCTCACCGCAACCTCCGCCTCCTGGGTTCAGGCAATTCTCCTGCCTCAGCCTCCTGAGTAGCTGGGATTACAGGCACGTGCCACCATGCCCAGCTAATTTTTTGTAGTTTTAATAGAGACGGGGTTTCACCATGTTGACCAGGATGGTCTCGATCTCTTGACCTCGTGATCCACCCGCCTCGGCCTCCCAAAGTGCTGGGATTACAGGCGTGAGCCACCGCGCCCGGCCTTAACTCAGTTATTACATTAGCCGAACAACTGCCAAATGGAATTTGTCTTACAAAAAGAATTGCACTTTTCTTACTGTAATTATTCTGTAAATATTCATCGAGATTAGTTTCAGACTTTTGGTGAACATATGTTGATTCCAAGGATCGTTAACTTTGATATAGGTGAAACGATTATGGGGAAAACTAAAAAACCTTTTCAGTGATTTTAGTGGTACTTGGCTTTAAAAATAGTTATAGGCCTGGAGTAGAGAAAGAAAATTTGCTTATTTTGCAGATTTGGAAACAGAAGCTTAAAGATATAAAATATCTTGTCCAAAGTAATTCCTGGAACTGAGACTATAAGATCTAAACTCCTACTTTCTCCTACATTCTCTTTTTTTACGTTACTATACTTTTGCCATTCAAAGTGGTTATTGTTAGAAAGAATAAGACCTAATATTTGATAGCACAACAGGGGGACTGTAGTCAGTAATAATTTTTTTTTTTTTTTTTTTTTTTTTGAGACAGAGTCTCGCTCTTGTTGCCCAGGCTGTAGTGCAATGTTGTGATCTTGGCTCACTGAATCCCCTGCCTCCCAGGTTCAAATGATTCTCCTCCCTTAGCCTCCAAAATAGCTGGGATTATAGGCATGTGCTACCATGTCAGGCTAATTTTGTATTTTTTTAAATAGAGACGGGGTTTCACCATGTTAGTCATGCTAGTCTCGAACTCCTGACCTCAAGTGATCCACCTGCCTCAGCGTCCCAAAGTGTTGGGATTATAGGTGTGAGCCACCATGCCCAGCCCTATAGTCAATGATAATTTACTTGTACATTTAAAAATAACTAAAACAGGCCGGGCGCGGTGGCTCACGCCTGTAATCCCAGCACTTTGGGAGGCCGAGGCGGGTGGATCACAAGGTCAAGAGATCGAGACCATCCTGGTCAACATGGTGAAACCCCGTCTCTACTAAAAATACAAAAAATCAGCTGGGCATGGTGGCGCATGCCTGTAATCCCAGCTACTCAGGAAGCTGAGGCAGGAGAATTGCCTGAATCCAGGAGGCGGAGGTTGCGGTGAGCCGAGATCGCGCCGTTGCACTCCAGCCTGGGCAACAAGAGTGAAACTCTGTCTCAAAAAAAAAAAAAAAAACTAAAACAGTATAGATTGTTTGTAACACACAGGATAAATGCTTGAGGGGATGAATACCCTATTTTCCATGATGTGATTGTTCGAATTGCATGTTTGTACCAGTGTACCCCATAAACATGTACACCTACTGTGTACCCATAACAAGGAAAAACTGGTTGCCGTAAATTATTATTTATTCTTTTTTGTCAGTGGTAATTGGTGTCTTTTCCTCTCATGTTAGAACCCTCAGTTATTTTCACTTTTTCCCACTTTATCACCAGTCATCACTTTGGGCCTTTGTTTTCCCTGCCTTTGAAACTCTGGCAGATCTACCTTTTTTCCATTTCCATTCTCACTATTTCACTTGTTTCTTCATAATCTTATACCAGGATTACTTTAATGACTTCCTACCCACTCACCCTTTTCAAATTTGTTCTATACCATAAAATGCTGTTAAACTAACATTTTAGGAAATGCTACCATTTTTTCCACATACTTCCCCTTGCTCTGACCCTATTACAGTTTTCTATTGGTCACTCATATCAGTGCATATTTAATATGCATTTACTTTCTATGGTATTGATACGGTACAGTACTCATGGTTTTGTTAAGCACTAGAAGAATGTGAATATCTGTGTGATATGATACTCACCTCAGATAATTTGTTGTGAGGAGTTGGGATTTAAATAAACACGTGATTCCTACTTCAAGTAATTTATCATTCATTTGAGGAGACCATGTAGACACTGAGAAATAGTAATAATATATGTTTTTTCCCCTACAGGTTCCTGTTGCGTGTAAATCATGTCCCTGTGGTTACATATTTATTAGCAGAAAACTTTTAAATGCAAAACACTCCGAGAAATCACCACCTTCTACAGGTACTTGTGAGTTTAACACATTTTTAGCTTTTTGATGTAGAAATGTAAAATTAATTTTTGTGAATTTAGTATTTACATTTTTTGTTGAAGTTAAAAATTTAAGTCTATTAAAGTGTCTTTGGCTTTTATTAGCTGTTGGAATTAGTTTACGACATTGGTTTCATGTACATTCTGTTTAAATGTTAAGTCCCTTATAATGCTGATAATGCTTGTAACAAATTTTTTATTTTTGAAGGTGGAAAACCGCTGAAGGGTTTTAGCAAGGGAGTGACCTGATCTGACATAAAAAAAAAAAAAAAAAAAAAAAAACTTTTTAAAAAATAGCTTAAGTAATGATTGACATTGAGTAAATTGGATGTATTTGAAGTGCACGGTTTAATAAGTTTTGATATATACATATACCAACCAACCAATCACCACAATCAAATACTATAAACGTTTATCAATTTCAAAAGTGTCCTAGTTCCCACTTGTAATCCTTCCTTCCTGATAACCCTACCCCAGGTAACCACAGAGCTGCTTTCTGTCACTGTTCATATGCATGGAATCATACAGTATGTACTCTTTTTTGCCTGGCTTCTTTCAATAAGTGTAATTAGGATTCAGCCATGTTGTATGTAGCAATAGGAGTTCATTCCTTTTTATTGCTTAGTAGGACTATTTGTATGGAAATTTGTTTATCCATTCTTCTATTGATGGGCATTTGAGTTTTTTCTCTCATAATGCTGGTAAAATTTGCAGCAACTTTAAAGTTTTTTTTTTAAACTAGTGTCTGTGGAAAAATATAACTTGGCTTTGGTATGAATAATGTTTTTTAGACATGTTGGCTATATTTTACAGTTACCTGACTGAAGATATCCAAAAAATGACTTTGTTTGAACTTGTTACTTTTCCATTAACATAGACAAATTGGATTTATTCAGTAGACATATTTATTAATATTAAAAGATAGAATTTTGTTACTTACTCTTGACAAAAACCAGACCTTCATACAGAGGTGACCTTGAAATAAGAGTAGGTTGATTACAAGTACATACTGAGCACCTGCTGTACGCTAGACACTGTTCCAAGCCTTGGGCACGAAGCATTGACTCTACTGTTTAGGCAGATTTATTGCTGTCATGGAGCTCATATTCTTGTGGGTGGGAGATAGACAGTGAACAAATACACAGAGAAAATGTAACGCGATAAATGCCTTGTAGCTATCAAGTGACTGGAAGGCTACTTTTGATTGGTTGGTTAGAGAAGGCCCCTATAAGGCCGGGCGTAGTGGCTCACGCCTGTAATCCCAGCACTTTGGGAGTCCAAGGTGGGTGGATCACAAGGTCAAGAGATCAAGACCATTCTGGCTAACGTGGTGAAACCCCATCTCTACTAAAAATACAAAAATTAGCTGGACGTGGTGGCAGGTGCCTGTAGTCCCAGCTACTCAGGAGGCTGAGGCAGGAGAATTGCTTGAACCCAGGAGACCAAGGTTGCAGTGAGCCGAGATCATGGCCACTGTACTCCAGCCTGGTAACACAGTGAGACTCCATCTCAAAAAAAAAAAAAAAAAAGAGAAGGCCGCTCTGAGGAGGTGACATTTAAATGGAGCCTCAGTAGATAGAAGTGGCTAGCCATGATAAGATCAGGGAGAAGAACATTCTTGACGGATGGAAATAGCAAATGCAAAAGTTCTAAGGTCGGACAAAATTTTGTATAGTTTAGGAACAAAAAAGACCATTGTGGTTGCAGTGTAGACAGTTTGATTAGAAGAGTAGAAGATGAGTTCAGAAGGATAGGCAGAGGCTTGATTATACAGGGCTTTGTAAACCAGAGTAAGAAGTTTGGATTTTGTTTGTAAACTATGAGGAAAAACTGTCCCTGAGATGAGGTGAGATGAAGTGAAGGGAAGATGGCATGCTCTGATTTGAGTTTCAGAAAGATCATTCTGGCTGCTGTGTAGAGAACAGTTAGTAGGGGTACAAATATGGAGGTGTATTATTGCAGTAGGTTAACTAAGGATACTGAGTTAGACAAAGAGTGGTTATAGTAGCAGATGATTCAAGATGTATTTTTATTTATGTCTGAGAGGTTTATTTATCTTAGGTCTATATAGAAGTGGCAGGAAACTTGCTTAGTTCCATTTCTGTAACTGTTTCAGTTCTCATCATAAGAATGAACATAATTCGTTGGTTATTAAAGGCGGTTGCTGTGTTGGCTTTATGGGATTCATCCAGAGAGCTTGTTAAAAATGGATTCCTGGATCTTACTCTCTGAGAGTTCGGTTTAGATAAAGGAACCCTGAAATGATGATTCATTCAGTAGTTATTTTGGGGTGATATGTCAGCTCAGTGCTGAGTTTCTAAAAATGAGTAAGTCATAGTCCTTGTTCTTAGGGAGACAAAGTGCTTTTTTGTTGTTCAAGTATTTTTGAGCTCCTCTTATGTCCCAGTGATTCAGATGAAAAATGAGTTAAGAAAATCAACAAATATAAAACAAGGAACAGGGTCAGTTATGTTGGCTTATGTCTATAATTCCAGCACTTTGGGAGGCTGAGGCAGGAGGATCGCTTTAACCTTCTACAGCTGTGGCTGCAGTGAGCTGTGATTGTACTGCTGTCCTCTAGCCTGGGTGACAGAGTGAGACATTGTCTAAAACAAAATGAAAAAAAGGAAAAGACGATACAAGTGTTAATGAGTTGTTAACAAGTTGAACCAGTGGGAAGAATTTAGAAGATTCCCAGATGTCTGATTTGGATTGCTAGTTAAAAGAGAATATGGCCGGGCGCGGTGGCTCACGCCTGTAATCCCAGCACTTTAGGAGGCCGAGGTGGGTGGATCACAAGGTCAAGAGATCGAGACCATCCTGGTCAACATGGTGAAACCCCGTCTCTACTAAAAATACAAAAAATTAGCTGGGCATAGTGGCGCGTGCCTGTAATCCCAGCTACTCAGGAGGCTGAGGCAGGAGAATTGCCTGAATCCAGGAGGCGGAGGTTGCAGTGAGCCGAGATCGCGCCATTGCACTCCAGCCTGGGTAACAAGAGCGAACCTCCGTCTCAAAAAAAAAAAAAGAGAGAATATAAGAGGGAAAACAAGCTTAGAGGGAAAGATAAATTTAATTTTGGATATGGTTGTGAAACATCATCCATGTAGATTTTTTTTCAGTTGGACAATTAGTCTGCAGCCTCAGCTGTAGATAAAACTTTGGAGCCATCAGTGTATAGGTGGTAGTTGTCATCATGGAAAATGGATGATCTCACGCTGGAGAGTTTGTAAGTTAGGAAGAGGAAGGCATTCAGGAACTAAACTCTCACAAATACCAATTTTACAGACAGGTCAGATCAACTGAGAATAAATGTCAGCTGGAGGAGAAAAACCAACAGAGCCCAATGTTATGTAAGTCATGGCGATGAGTGAGTTTTAAGAAGCAATTCATTATTCTTTTATATTTGGAGTTTCCTGAGGTTTCCTTGTTTAGTAAGAGTGGCCTTTTGACTTTGAAGTAAAGATGAAACATTGAAGCCCAGAAATCCCAGCAGGAGGAGGAAGAACCAACAATAAAACCAAATCAAACCAGAAAGGAAGGAGAAACATCAAGGATAGGCTGTGCCACGGAAACCACAGAAGGAAAAGATTTTTAAGGAGAGGATTAAGAGTATTCAAAGCCTCGGAAACAGTTTGTTAGCGTACAGACATGGGGGTCAGAAGACCTGGCTTCAGTAAATTTTGTCCCTTTCTAGGCAAGCTAGTTAACGTCCATGAGCAACTGTTGTTTATTTGTTTATAAGATAGATTTATAGTATCAGTGTTAGAGGTTTGAAGTGTGTATGAAAATGTCTAGGCTGGGCGTGGTGGCTCACGCCTGTAATCCCAGCACTTTGGGAGGCCAAGGTGGGCAGGTCACGAGATCAGGAGATGGAGATCATCCTGGTCAACATGGTAAAACTCCATCTCTATTAAAATACAAAAAATTACCTGGGTGTGGTGGTGCGTGCCTGTGGTCCCAGCTGCTTGGTAGACTGAGGCAGGGGAATCTCTTGAACCTGGGAGGCGGAGGTTGCAGTAAGCCAAGATTGCCGAGATCTCACCGCTGCACTCCAGCATGGCAACAGAGCAAGACTCCATCTCAAAAAAAAAGAAAGAAAAAGAAAGAAAATGTCTGACATTTGCAAAACATGCTAAATTTTAGGTAACTCAATAGTGTTCATTTTTACAATTAAATTTCTTAGAAGAAAGATTTGCCTTAGATAATCCCATAGTATGTATGGAATTCAGAAGAGTTTAAGGTCACTACAAGTTACCAAGTGCTTAATGTTGTCAATGAGATCTAGAACATTTCAGCTTTAAGAAAAGTAAATTAGTAGAGAATTAATAGAAGAAATGAAAATGTTCAATATTTGAAAGATAGTCAACTTCACTAAGTATCAGGGAAATGCAGTTGAAATTAAATGCCATTCTTTTTGCCTGCAGTTCATGTAAGTGTAAAGAATTTCTAAATACTTTCATGAGTATGGTAAAATGGATAGTCTCATACTATTGACTGGTGGGAGCATAAGTTGGTACTGCCTTTTTGAAGAGCAGTCTTACCAGTAGTTGTTAAAAAGTTTAAATGTATATAACCTAGAATGCACAGTTCTTTATCAGTAGGTAGGTATCCTAATTATTATACACAATGAAGTATTTACTAGAATTTTCAAGGCAACACTTTATAATAGCAGAAGGTTGTTAGTAAGGCAGATGTCATCAGTAGGGGAATGGCTAAATTAAGTAGTTACATTATCTTTTAGTTAATGATATGTGCCAGTTTGAAAGAATGATACAGATTTTATGTACTAAAATGGAAAGATCTCTAAAACATTGTTAATTTAAGAAAAGACTGCAAAAGAATATTTGGAGTATGAGCTTGTTTGTTTTTAAAACCCCACAAAATGATTTATCCATGTAGTATAAATAAGTAAATCCATAAATAGATAGGTAACTATATAACAAGTACAGAGTCAAGGAATACTTGTTTGCATAAGTAGACATCTTTTATTTTTTTTTTGAGATGGAGTCTTGCTCTGTTGCCACACTGGAGTTGCCCGCCTCAGCCTCCCAAAGTGCTGGGATTACAGGCATGAGCCACTGCACCCAGCTGTAAACACCTTTTTAAAAAAGAACCATAATTAAAAAGCTCATTGATTTAAAAAATACAGCTATAAAAGATTTTTTAAATTTTCACTAGGTTGAAAGGTCTTATTGGCTGGGTGCGGTGGCTCATGCCTGTAATCCCAGCACTAAGGCAGGCGGATCACGAGTTCAGGAGTTTGAGACCAGCCTGGCCAATATGGTGAAACCCCGTCTCTACTAAAAATACAAAAATTAGCCGGGCATGGTGGTGCCCACCTGTAGTACCAGCTACTTGGGAGGCTGAGGCAGGAGAATCGCTTGAACCTGGAGGCGGAGGTTGTAGTGAGCTGAGATCGAGCCACTGCACTCCAGCCTGGGTGACAGTAAGACTCCGTCTAAAAAAAAAAAAAAAAAAGAAAGCAAGCTCTTATTTAATTATTGTACACAGTTTGTGATGTGCAGGAAGAAAATACTCTGTTAGGCTCAATCAATTTATCTAGATATAAATTGTTTAAAACTCATGTTTTTCATATATTCTAATCATTTTCATATCTTCATAACATTCATAGAAATAGGGAGGTGGTAGATTAGAACTATATAGAATTTAGTGTAGCTGAAAATATGTATACATAAACAAAATCTATTACAGAAATTTATGGATTTTTTTAAAGTATAAAATTAATTTTGATGAGAGAAAGAGATGTGTGTTAGCAATACCACTATGTTAAGAAATGCTCAGCCGGGTGCGGTGGCTCACGCCTGTAATCCCAGCAATTTGAGAGGCTAAGGCAGGTGGATCACCTGAGGTCAGGAGTTCGAGACCAGCCTGGCCAACATGGTGAAAACTTGTCTCTACTAAAAATACAAAAATTAGCCAAGCATTGTGTTGTGTGCCTGTAATCTCAGCTACTCGGGAGGCTGAGGCAGGAGAATCACTTGAACCTGGGAGGTGGAGGTTGCAAGTGAGCCAAGATCACGCTATTGCACTCCAGCCTGGGCAACAAGAGTAAAACTCCATCTCAAAAAAAGAAAAAGAAATGCTACAGCTGAGCACAAGGTCTCACACCTGTAATCTCAGTGCTTTGGGAGGCTGAGGCGAGCAGATTGCTTTGAATTCAGGAGTTCGAGACCAGCCTGGCCAACATGGCAAAACCCCGTCTCTACTAAAGAAAAATACAAAAAATTAGCCAGGGGTGGTGGTGTTAATCATGGAGCGTGTCCAGGTTCTTGGTGTCTTGAACAAAGAATTGGACAAAACACACAAACCAAGGACGGAATGAAAGGATTTATTGAAAATGAAAGTACACTCCACAGTGTGGGAACAGGCTTGGAGCATAGGGGCTCAAAGGCCCTGTTAGAGTTTTTGTGAGTTTAAATACTCTCTATTTGGGGCATGCTCTATGTAAAAAGAGAGGATGAAGTAAGGTTACAAAGTCGCTTACTTGGCCTGTTCCCTATGGAGAGGATATTTCCTGTTACAGCTGAAGTGTGAGATCGACTTCATGTTCCCTGCCTCCAGATCCTATTTTTCTGCCTCCGTGGTGCGTGTCTGTTGTCTCATCTACTTGGGATGCTGAGGTGGGAAGATTGCTTGAGCCTGGGAAGCGGAGGTTGAAGTGAGCAGTGATCTCGCCAGTCACCAGGCATGGTGACTCATGCCTGTAATCCCAGCATTTTGACAGGCTGAGGCAGGTGGATCATTTGAGGTCAGGAGTTCAGGGCCAGCCTGGCCAACATGGTGAAACCCCATCTCTACTAAAAATTTAAAAAAATAATTAAAAAAAAAAAAGGCCGGGCGCGGTGGCTCAAGCCTGTAATCCCAGCACTTTGGGAGGCCGAGGCGGGTGGATCACGAGGTCAAGAGATCGAGACCATCCTGGTCAACATGGTGAAACCCCGTCTCTACTAAAAATACAAAAAATTAGCTGGGCATGGTGGTGCGTGCCTGTAATCCCAGCTACTCAGGAGGCTGAGGCAGGAGAATTGCCTGAACCCAGGAGGCGGAGGTTGCGGTGAGCCGAGGTCGCGCCATTGCACTCCAGCCTGGGTAACATGAGTGAAACTCTGTCTCAAAATAAATAAATAAATAAATAAATAATTAAAAAAATAAAATTTTAATTATAAAAACTATAAAAGAAAAAGTGAATTTCTAAATGAGATACTAGTTCATAAAATTTAGAATTTAAAATTTAATAACATTTAAAATGTAGAGTTCCTGTAAAGGCAAGAAAAAATAGTTGAGACAATAGGAAATTATAATTGCTTATTAGTATTTTAACTTATAATTTTCAGTGAGTATAAGGTTTAGGGTAAGTATAGTCAAATAACAACCTCCCCATTTTTTATTGGGAGAAGGAAAAAAGAAAAAAGGGAAAAAAAATTAAACCTCAACCTAGTTTTCAAATTATTCTTTTTTTTTTTTTTTTTTTTTGAGACAGAGTCTCACTCTGTCGCCCAGGCTGGAGTGCAGTGGCGTGATCTTGGCTCACTGCAACCTCTGCCTCCCAGGTTCAAGCAATTCTCCTGCCTCAGCCTCCTGAGTAGCTGGGATTACAGGCACGCGCCACCATGCCCTGCTAATTTTTTGTATTTTTAGTAGAAACGGGGTTTCACCATGTTGGTCAGGCTGGTCACAAACTCCCAACCTTGTGATCCACCCCACCTCGGTCTCCCAAAGTGCTGGGATTACAGGTGTGAGGCACTGTGCGTGGCCCAAATTATTCTTTAATATAAGTTAATAGGCAAAGGCTGATAAGCAAAGAAGTTCATAAATGACAAGTTGTTCCCCAAACAAAAAGGAGAAATGATTATCACCTGCACCTTTTATAAATCCAAAGTGATTGAGTATTAATTCAGTAGTATAAGTGGTCCTCAACTCTGAATTGACTGTGGGAGGTTTGGTTTTGTTATTCAGAAAGCTAGTTCTTTACTTGCTAGCCAGGCGCGATGACTCACGCCTGTAATCCTAGCACTTTGAGAGGCTGAGGCAGGTGGATCACTTGAGGTTACGAGTTCAGGACCAACCCAGCCAACATGGAGAAAGCTTATCTCTACTAAAAATACAAAAATTAAAAAAGAAAAAAAAAGCAAGCATCATGTGTCATTCCTTACATGCTAATTGTGTAAAAGTGCTATACGTTCCTTTATGGAATATGGCTTTTATATAGTTGATTTTTGTGGGTTATTTTTGCCTTTTCATTAAAAAAAAAGCATTGCTTTACCTCAGAGCTTGTACTTTTAAGTTCTTAACCATATAGTTTATGATATCTATATTCGTCTTTAAAACACTTTTCATAGAGTTCTTTGACATCTAATCAAGACTGATTGTTTTTAGGTCTGCTGTATAGCCGCGGTATTAGGGTTTCTTTCCATTGTACTCCCAGGATAATAACACTCTTTCTTTCTTTATTTTTATTATTTTATTTTATTTTTATTTTTATTTTTTATTTTGAAACGGAGTTTCGCTCTTATTACTCAGGCTGGAGTGCAATGGCGCGATCTCGGCTCACCGCAACCTCTACCTCCTGTGTTCAGGCAATTCTTCTGCCTCAGCGTCCTGAGTAGCTGGGATTACAGGCGCGTACCACCATGCCCGGCTAATTTTTTTATTTTTAGTAGAGATGGGGTTTCACCAGGTTGGCCGGGCTGGTCTTGAACTTCTGACCTCAGGTGGCTCCACCCACCCCAGCCTCCCAAAGTGCTGGAATTACATGGGTGAGCCGCCGTGTCTGATACCACTCTTAATTACATACTGTGTCTGTGTTCTTTTTAAATCATGTGTTTTTACTTTTGGAACAAATTTCCCAGAAATTATTTTATTCCTGGAAAAACTTTTTAAGAAAAGACATAATGGTACATTTCCTATCTTCTACTGTGGAGAGTGCCTTTGGTTTCATTCACACTTTAATTTTGTTCTCATTCTTCATTGGCATTTAGTGCGTCCTTTCCATCTGAAAGTTGAAGTCTTTAACTCAGGGCAGTTTTTATCCTATACATCTCTAGGCATCCTATACACATTTCAAGAAAGAAGAAGTGGGAAGAGCAGAGACACTAAGGGGCATGCCAGCTATGCTTCTTCCCTTGAAAAAATCTTTGGGAGGCCTAGGTGGGTGGATCACGAGGTCAGAAGTTCGAGACCAGCCTGACCAACATGGTGAAACCCCATCTCTACTAAGAATACAAAAAAAATTAGCCAGGTGTGGTGTTGCACACCTGTAATCCCAGCTATTGAGGAGGCTGAGGCAGGAGAATTGCTTCAACCTGGGAGGCAGAGGTGGCAGTGAGCCGAGATCATGCCACTGCACTCCAGCCTGAGCAATAGAGTGAGACTGAAGGAAGGAAGGAGGGAAGGAGGGAAGGAAGATAGGAGGGAAAGGGGAAGGAGAGGGGTGAGGGAAGGAAGGGAGGAAGGAGAAAAGAAAGAGAAAGGAAAGGAAGGGAGGGAAGGGAAGGGGGAAGGGAGAAGGAGGGAGGGAAGAAGGAAGAGAGAAAGAGAGGAAGAAAAGGAAGGAAGAAAGAAAAAAAGAAAAAAGGAAAGAAAGAAAGAGAAAGAATTTTTTCTGGAAACCTTACCCAGCTTCACTTACCTGTCATTGGCCAGAGCTAGATGCTACCTCACCTGCAGGGAGAGTCTTGAGAATGTATACCTACATATTGCCTTCTTTATCAGAACAAGATTCTGTTCTTAATGAAGATGGGGAGAAAGAATAATGGGTACATAACTGGCAATTCTGTCACAGGAATATCTGTTAGGTTTCTTGGATCTTTCCTTCATTTTTCTTCACTTTCTGTCACATACTTTTTTTGTCTGTTTTGTTCCAGGAAATTTTGATTTCCCTTTCTACATCTATAATTTTGTCATCAGGCATGTCCACTATTTAGCTTATCTTTAACACCTAAACTTTATTTAGCAGGTTATCTTGTTTTCTAATTTCTTCTTTTTCATAGAATTTAAAAAATACTTTTATATTGGTAAAATATAACAATTTACTATTTTAACCATTTATAGATGTACAGTTTAGTGGCATTAAGTATGTACATATTGTATTCTTAACCATCACTACCATCCAGTTCCCAAACTGAAACTTATCTTCCCAGACTGAAACTCTGTACCCATTAAACAATGACTGCCATTTCCTTCTCTACCATCCCCCAGCAACCACCATTCTACTTTCTCTCTGTGTGAATTTCAGCACTCTAGGTACCTCATATAAATGGAATCATATAATATTTGTCCTTTTGGGTCTGGCTTATTTTACTTAACACAGTGTCCTCAAGGTTTCATCCATGTTGTAACATGCATGAGAATTTCCTTTTTAAGGTTAAATAATATTCCATTGTATGTAAATACTGTAATTTGTTTATTCACGCATCCATCAGTGGACACTTGGGTTGCTTTAACCTTTTTGCTATTGTGAATAATGCTGCGTGGTATACAAATATCTGTCCAGGTCTCTGCTTTCATTTCTGTTGGATATATGCCTAGAAGAATTGCTGGATCATATGTTAATCCTATTTTAATTTTTTTGAGCACTCACTTTATTGTTTTCCATAGCAGTGCCACCATTTTACATTTTTACCAGGAATGTACAAATGTTACAATTTCCCTACATCCTCATCAACACTTATTTTCTGGTTTTGTTTTGCTTTGCTTTTTATAATAATCTAATGAGTATGAAGTGGTATCTTGCTGTGGTTTTGATTTGCATTTTCTTATTGATGTGATATTGAACATCTTTGCATGTGCTTGCATATCTTTGGAGAAGTAGCTATTTTAAGTCCTTTGCCCATTTTTAGATTGAGGATTTTCTTGTTATTGTTGTTGACTTAGAAGTTCTTTATCTATTCTGGATATTAATCTCTTATCTGTTAATTTGCATATATTTTCTCTCATTCCATGTATTGCCTTTTCATTCTATTGATAGTCTTTTGATGCACAGAAATTTTTTAATTTTGATGAAGTCCATTTTACCTTTTTTTTCTTTTATCGTTTTTGCTTTCAATTTTGGTGTCACATCCAAGAAATTATTGCCAAAATGCAATGTCATGAAGCTTTACCATGATGTTTAAAACAGTTTTATGATTTTAGTGATTGTATTTAGATATTTGATCCATTTTGAGTTAATTTTTGTGTATGGAGGAAGATAAGGGTCCAGCTTCATTTTTTGGGTAATTCGAATTATGCTACATTGTGTAAATACTCAGTTTTCCTATTACAACTTGTGGAAGATACCTTACTTTACCTTGAATTGTCTCAGAGTCATTGAAAAAACTTTGACTGTGTGTATATGTTTATTTATGAGCTTTATTTTTATTCCTTTGGGGTGTATATTTGTCTTTATGTCAGTACCATAATCTTGATTATTATAACTTTGAAGTTTTGAAATCGAGAAGTGTGGGACCTCTAATTTCGAATTTTTTCAAGATTGTTTTGGCTATTTGGAAATCCTTGGGATTCATGTGAATTTTAGGATGGGTTTTTCTATTTCTGCAAAAATAATCTTATTTTTAATGATAATCTCCTTTCAGATCTCTCAAGGTATGCATTAGAATGTTTTTGTTTGTTTGTTGAACTACCTTTGTTCTTCCTGTTTTATTTTGATTCTTCTCTCTGCCTTTTATTTTCTTCTTCTAGCTAGTAATGCTTAATTGGCTGTTGGTGTCATATCTACAAATGAAGAACTTGGTTTATCTGTGTTTAATGGATAAGTTTAATGAATATCCTACACTGTTTTAAAGGTCTATTTTGACAACAGTTCTCTTCAGTGTATAATTGGGAGGAGTTTAGTGGCAGGAGGTGAGCAGGCAGGACACTGGTGAATGCCCCTATTGCCAAAATAAAACAGGCTTCATTTTGGGGTGGAATGTGAAATCTCTTACAGTATTTCATTCCTGTGAGGAGCTGCCTTTTCCCTATATTATAGAGGTTTGAAGTTCTCTTGAACATTGCTGCATTCCTGAGAGCTTTTCTCTACTTTTTGTCCTGCCCTGGGATTATCCTTGAGAATCCTCCTTTGGGAGGACCAGCCCTCCCTTCTGTAGCAGCCATCGCTTATTCCTATCATTGTAGTTTATTTTATTCTTCTTTCTTATCAGAACCATCAGCTTGCCAGTTTGCTGAAATTCTGTAATTTTGGGGTCATTAATAGTACGCTTTTCTTGTTTCCAGCACCACAGATATATTTTCCTTTTTCCCCTTTCTCTTTTCCCGTATTTCTTCTCATTTCAATGGGATTTTGAGAAGGTGGTGAGGTAAATGTGTGTACTATCCAATTTTATTTATTCAACAGCCTGTGTTAGTAATGTTCTAGGTTCTACAAATAACGTAGGAAAAGGATTCCCAACTTTCATAAAGCTTACATTTTGAGAGAGAAGACGTATTGAGCATATAAGTAAATCAATAACGGATTATAACTGTAGTAGATTACAGGAAGTAACGGGCTGGGAGACTCAGAGCAAGTGACCTATAAATGGATATCCAAAGGGAAAAAAAACCTTGTTTCATGAAGAGCTTTGGGAAGAAAGCTCTAGGCAGAAGAATTAGCAGATACATAGACTCAGCGGAAGAAGGAGCTTGTTTTATTAAAAATAAAAGGCACGTCTGGAGTGTAGTGAATGAAGTAGTGAGCAGTATGAAACTGGAAAGAGGCAAATGCCAGATTTGTTGGGGACTTGTGGTCTTTGGTAAGGAACTTTGACTTTAAATATGGAGAAAGCTTATGAAAGGCTTTAGAAGGAAGCTAGGCAGTTTGAATTTTTTTTTTTTAAACATAATATTGGCTGGTATGTAGAGAATAGGTTTGACTGGGATATTGCCCGTGGTGGTGGAGAAGAGTGAAGACATCATGGGTATATTTTACAAGGAGTGCCTGTGGACCTTTGCAATGGTACAGGAAGCAAGATGAGTCACAAATGACTATAAATTATTTGACTTGTACACCCAGGTGATGCTGTTTACTAATATGATGAAAGGAGGAGGAGTATCAGATTTGGGAGAGGGAAAATCAATAGTTATTTTTTGATACAATTTGAAATGCCTTTGAGACATTCAAGTGAAGTTGTCAGATAGGCAGTCTAGAGTTTAGGGAAGAAATCGGAGCAGAAGGTGAAAACTTTGGAGCCATCATAACAATAGTATTTAATTCTGTAGGTTTATGAGATGATCTAGGCAAAGTGTAAGTAAGAGAAGAGGGCTCTGGACAGAATCCTGGGGCTTTGATATTAGGTTGGGAAAGCACCTGGGGAAGGGTGCAAAGCAAAGACCATGAGGAGTTGCTGGTGACATAAGGAAACTGTGGGAGCCTGAGAATCAAGCGAAATAATTTCAAGGAAAGTGGTAATCATCTTTGTTGAATTTTTGAGAGTTGGTGTAAGATGATAAGTGAGGTGTCTATTAAGATTTGAACCGGTTTTTGTTGTTTTTGACAATGAATTTCATTGGGAAAGGAACTGTACTGGAATAGATTAGATGAGTGAGTGGAAGATGAGAAACTGAAGGCAGAAAGTCCAGGCACCTCTTTTGAGAAGTTTGACTGTGAAGAAGTTTGCAGAGATGAGTGGGTAGCCAGGGGAACAAACCTAAATTCAGTGTTAGACTTTAATAGGCATACTATATAAAGCTTTACCTATCACTATTTCTCTTGACCTTTATTTTTTTTTAGAAATTCTAAGCATATGCCAGAGTAGACAATGACCAACCCTGCGTCATCCACAATCATGTCTGCCTCTTCCCTTGCATCATTTTGAAGCAAATCCCATATAATTTCTGTTATAAATATTTCATTATGTTTCTAAAAGATGAACATTAAAAAATATAAGCACACTGCCATTATAACATAAAAAATTAACAATAATTCTTTAATACCAAATATCCAACTTGTGTTCACATTTTCAGTTTTCTCATAAATTATCTTAAAGTTTTAAAAACAGATTTTAAATAAAGTCCACCAATTGCATATAGGTGCTATCTCATTTATTTGTTTATCTCTACTATTTTTTTGAGACAGAGTCTTGCTCTGTTACCAGGCCAGAGTGCAGTGGTGCCATCTGAGCTCACTGCAGCCCCCTCCTCCCGGGTTCAAGCAATTCTCATGCCTTGGCCTCCTGGGTAGTTGGGACTACCCACACATACCACCACCCCTGGCTAATTTGTGTATTTTTAGTAGAGATGGGTTTTATCTTATTGGCTGGGCTGGTCTTGAACTCCTGACCTCAGGTGATCCACCTGCCTCAGCCTCCCAAGATGCTGGATTACAGGTGTGAGCCACCATGCTGGGTTAGTTATTTATGGCATGGTGTCACTCTGTCACCCAGGCTGAGACAGGGTTTTCCTATGTTACCCAAGCTGGTCTCAAACTCCTGGCCTCAAGCCGTCCCCTGTCTCATCCTCTGAAAAGCCTAAAGTGCTTTTGGATTATAGGCATAAGCTACTGAGCCTGGCTAGATAATATCTTTTTTTAACCCTCTTATTATCTATTATTTTATCTTTTTTTCCTTGCAAGCTAGATGTTGAAGGAATGGCATCACCTGTCCATTGGTATGTGTTGTTTGTATCCCATGGTGTTGGTTAACGTATTCCTTAAATAACTTCTCTTTTCTCTAATAGTTATAAGTTAGATCTAAGGGCTGGAGAGATTGGATTTTTTTTTTTTTTTACAAGACTGTTTAGTAGGTAGTGATGTGTACCTCTATCTGGAGGTACACATAAAGTTTGCTTCTCTTTTTTTTTTTTTTTTGAGACAGAATCCCGCTCTGTCACCCAGGCTGGAGTTTAGTGGTTCTATCTCAGCTCACTGCAACCTCGGCCTCCCAGGTTCTAGTGATTCTCCTGCCTCAGCCTGCCAAGTACCTGGAATTAGACATGTGCCACCACACCCAGCTAATTTTGTATTGTTAGTAGAGACAGGGTCTTGCTTTTGGCCAGGCTGGCGTGGAACTCCTGACCTCAGGTGATCTGCCTGCCTCGGCTTCCCAAAGTGCTGGGATTACAGATGTGAGCCACTGTGCTTGGCCTGCTTCTCTCTTTTTTAGTGATGTTAGTACCTGCTGATGTTTAGTGCTTATAACCTTTAGTTTATTGCAGGTAAAAAGTGGTGATATTCTGATTCTGTCATTCCTTCTTCATTTATTACTGTTAGTATGAGAAACTTCTCTTCATCTGTGTTTTGGTTACCCAGTGAGTAGCACAGTTTAAATAGAAAAAGCAGAAGAAATGCTTAGTTCTTTCCCTTTATTTAAGTTTTCAAAGTAATGAGTTGGTTCTTCAGTCTCTTCATATGATGGCCAAGTAGTTTGTTTTGTTTTTTTTGAGACAGAGTCTCGCTCTGTCACCTAGGCTGGAGTGTAATGGCATGATCTCAGCTCACTGCAACCTCTCCCTCCCAGGTTCAAGCAATTCTGCCTCAGCCTCCTGAGTAGCTAGAATTACAGGCATGTGCCGCTACACCCGGCTAATTTTTTTTTTGTATTTTTAGTAGAGACGGGGTTTCACCATGTTGGTCAGGCTGGTCTCAAACTCCTGACCTCTTGATCCACCTGCCTCCGCCTCTCAAAGTGCTGGGATTACAGGCGTGAGCCACTGGGCCCGGCTATAGTTTTTGTTTTTAATGTTAATGTACTCATATACTTGATATATTTCAATCTATTATAGTTATTATTTTTATTGATGCTCAAATTGTTCTGTAATAGCTGGAGCCTCTTCAGGTTAGCCTGAGTCTTAACAAGACTCTGGTTGTCTTTGATAGCTTTCTTGCAATCTGGGATAATTAAATGTTCTTGTATTATCTGGTATATGTCTAATTTGAAACTTCAAATTAATTCTCCAAGATATGATATTTGGAGATAATATTACTATTTTACTTTTACTTTTTTTTACAGCAGCCTATTAAGTATACTTAATTTATAGTTTTTCAAATTGTTCCCTTTAGTTCTTGGGATATGAATTTTTCTGTTTCTTTTGCCCTTTTACCACTGTGATTTTAGGCATTTGGGGCATTCTCTTTCTTGCTTTTGAGTGCAGGTATGTGTTAAAGCAAGGTATCATATTTTTTTGTTGTTTTGTTTTTTCTTTAAGGTTATTGTTTGTCTTATCCAACAGTCTGATTTGTTTAAATTGGGAGGAGTGGCTTCTTGCATTAATTAAATCACGATATTTAATAAAGTCTCCTTACTGCTATTCCGTTTATGGAAAAACATGCTTTTATATCAGAAATTACCTTATCGGTGGCTAAAGTGAAAACTACTCACTTGCCTAGTGGTTTCATATTTGTTATGGATGCTTTCTGTTTGATTTTTATTGTAACCTTAATACATTAGCTCTAAGATCAGCTTTGCTTGTGCATATTTCACATATTTTAATCTTTAATTCAGGTAGAGGGCAAAAAGGTATGGAATTTTTTTTCCTTTCTTAATATTTTACTACTTTTAGCTTGGAAACAGGAAGAAAAAGGCAGAAAAGCTTGCTATGGAATTGTGTGAACTTGTAGAGGCTGAAATTTAAACTGCCAAATGATGAAACTTGTTTTCTCTTCCAAGATTCCTCCTACTTCATGTGTTATTGTGATCTGAATTCTGTTGAATTTCTTTTTTTCTGATGTGGGTGTGGGGGAGACATATATGTTATGGTTGTAGTTCTATGAAATATGCCAGGAAGCATACTCTAGTGCAATTTAGAAAGGAAAAGGAAGACAATGAGAACTTGGGCAAACAGTTCTTGCTAAGCCCTAAAATATATCACTTTTATTCATCCATACAGAAAACAAGCATGAGGCCAAGAGGAGGCGAACAGAGAGAGTTAGGAGAGAGAAGATAAATTCTACAGTAAATAAAGATTTAGAAAACAGAAAGAGGTCTCGAAGTAACAGCCATTCAGATCATATCAGACGAGGAAGAGGAAGACCTAAAAGTGCATCTGCCAAAAAACATGAGGAGGAAAGAGGTATGAATAAATCAAGCAGTTTTTTTTTTCCAAGTATTAAATTGATCTGGGATATTAATTAGGTAGTAGTGAAGAAAGTGGAGGCATTGAGCTCCTGGACTTAAAATCACAACTCGTATTTTAGTTTGAAAGCATTTCCTCTATGGTAGATGCTTATTTTTTTTAATCACAGGAATTCAATTCTTATTGGAAACCTAAAGGCTTAGTTAAGTAAAATTTACCTTGCTATAAACTGATGATAATGGAGTTCAAAGATAATTTGTATATGACACCCTGGAGAAGCCTGTTAATATGATTGTACCTTTTTTTTTTTGAGACAGGGTCTCACTCTGTTGCCCAGGCTGGAATGCAGTGGCAAAGTCATGACTCACTGCAGTCTCAACCTCCCGGGATCAGATAATTCTCCCACCTCAGCCTCCTGAGTAGCTGGGACTACAGGTGTGCACCATCATGCCTAGCTAATTTTTGGGGGTTTCTCCCCCAAAGAATTAATATGGAGGTTTTGCCATGTTGCCCAGGCTCGTCTTGAACTTCTGGGCTCAAGCGATCTGCCCTCCTTGGCCTCCCAAAGTGCTGGGACCTCTGTTTTTTTCTTTTTATTTTTTTAAGACAAGTCTGAGTTCTTTTAAGACTTATTTCAAACTGTTAAGCTGTGAATTTTAAAATTTTACTTTTGAAAGTGTTCTTGTGGCGTTTTTAATTGCTCATTGGGAGATTGTGCTTCCTACTCTGAGGCAGCTTTTGCGTAGTTAGATACATTCTTCTTGGTCCAGAGTATATTTCTATTTCTCCTTACAGGTCTTCTCCTTTCTTCTGATAAATATCTACCAATAACTTGTTTTCAGATATTAACTAAAACTTCAGCTTCTCTTTTTTTTTTTATTTACACATCTTTTTAAAAACTTAAGGAGAATTTCAACGTATGCAAGATTAGAGAATAGTATAATGAACCTTTATATGTCCACAAATATCTTTTTAATATTGAAACTTTCAAGCCGGTAGTTAACTAAAAAAAGAGATAGTTGCTCTTTATTGTTTTTTAAAAACCTCTGTCAAAATGATGTCATATTCATTGAAATGCATTTATAATTTCTTAGACTATTTGTGAGTTATGCTTTGCTTTTTTAGATATTCTGTCTTAGGTACTCAAGTGCTTTTTGTGTAAATGTAAATTTTACTTATTTTAGACAATGAGAACATTCTACCAGTTCACTATTTCTCTCGGCTTTATGCGCTTTTATTTGAGTAAAGTTACTATTGCTAGAAAACAGCTTCACCAGTATAGCCATTCCTAGCTTTTATCAAAGTTAAAGGTATCTTAGTATTGTATGGCTAAAGGAGTAAGGTTTCTATTATACTTGACTGTATTCTAGGTAGGCTATACTAAGGTAATCCCCTTATTCCTTCGGTAATTTTACTGCTTTTCTCTTTCCTTCTTTTATGCTCTTCCAGAGGATTTGAGTTATTCAATTTGAATGTTTCTTTAACAATAGGGTGATCAGAAAACCTATGCCAAGCACTATTTTAGAAGGGAAACTAGGTAAAGAAAAGTCAACAGAGAAAAAGGAAAAGAGAGAAATACTGCTTGGCTCATAAAACAACATTCTTTTCAGTTGAAGTAGAGGAAATACAGCTGAAAGAAGAGAAGAATGCTTCTGGTGGTGGGTGAGAGAAGATGAGAAAGCAGATAATGACAGTCTTTAGCTGGGGAAATGAAGTCTGTATACTTGTGGTAGAATTGTATATGGAAGATTTTAGTTTTTATTTCATGATTACTCGAAAAAAGAAGCATTTATTTGGCTGTAAATATTTTTTAGGTATTTTCTATTTATTACATAAAAATGTTAAGAAAGTTATTTCTAGAGTAATATATGCTTTTAATTTATTTGTTTTTGATACAAATTGCAGGAAATTGCTTAAAGCAGTTTTTGTAGCACAAACTGGAATTTTTTTTTTTTTTTTTTTGAGACTGAGTCTTGCCTGATCGCCCAGGCTGGAGTGTAGTGGCTCGATCTCGGCTCACTGTAACTTCTGCTTTCCGGATTCAAGTGATTCTTCTGCCTCAGTCTGCCAAGTAGCTGGGGTTACAGGCATGTGCCACCACACCCGGTGAATTTTTTGTATCTTTAGAAGAGACGAGTTTTCGCCATTTTGGCCAGGCTGGTGTTGAACTCCTGACCTTGTGATCCACCCGCCTCGGCCTCCCAAAGTGCTGGGGTTACGGGCATGAGCCATTGCGCCCAGCCACAAACTGGTTATTTAAGTAGACTGCGAAGTCATTACACTTTTTCTGTAAAGAGCCAGATAGTAAATGTTTTAGGCTTTGTGGGCCATACTATCTCTGTCACAACTACTCAGCTCTGCCATTGTAGCTGAAAAGCAGCCATAAAACATACATAAATGGATGGGCATGGCTGTGTTTCAGTAATACTTTATAAAACAGGTGGTGGGCCACATTTGGTACCTGTACTATAGTTTGCCAGTCTCTTTCTTTCTTTTTCTTTCCTTGCTTGATTTTTTTTTCTTCTGAGATTGGGTCTCACTCTGTCACCCAGGCTAGAGTGTAGTGCTGTGATCATGGCTTACTGCAGCCTCAAACTCTTGGGCTCAAGCGATCCTCCTGCCTCAGCCTTCCGAGTAGCTGAGAATAGAAGTACACGCCACCATGCCAGGCTTTTTTACCTTTAGAGTAAGTGAGGTCTCACTATGTTGCCCAGGCTGGTCTCAAACTCCTGGGCTCAAGGGATCCTTTTAGCTTGGCCTTCCAAAGTGCTAGAATTGCAGGCATGCATGAGCCACTGCACTTGGCCTAATTTGCCAATCTTTGATGTAAACCATTGCATTCTAAGTATAAAATGGACAAGAACTATTAGATTGGTGCAAAAGTAATTCCTGTTTTAGTTTTGTACCAACCTAATGTGAACTTTGGAAATCTCTGTGTTTTAGAATAGATTTCTTAGATATGCTTCTTAGTGCTAAATAGCTATTTAGCACTAAATTGATTCCTTGATTTTCGGGCATTTTATTGATTCCTTGCTCTTAGGGCATTTGAAAAATTTGGAGCAAGCTTTAACATATGAATTAAGGAAAATCTGACAATGGTTCTGAAAAAACAAACTAAAAATGGGCTTTTCTGTCTAGTCAGATGAGAGGTCAAGAGGGGGGAAAAACTGACTTTTCTATAAGAAGTATAAGAAGGAAGAATGGAAAAGGAAAGCTTGTTAGACATTATCATAATATATCTTGATTAAATCATAAAAACAAATTATTGAAAAACAATTTTGGGTTACTCTAAGCCTTCATTTTATATATAAGGGTATGATTATTCTGGATATTATAATATAGAATATATTTATTTTTGACTGATTAAAATATGTTAGGCAATTCTGAACATCATATTAATGAACTTAAGAATGAACGTAGACTTTAAGCTGAAGATGGTGGATTGAAAAAACACATCTAGCTCCAAACTCCTTTGGGGAAATCTAAGAAAGAAACTCATTTTTATTACACAATTACCTAAAAGTCAGGAATTTGTGTATCAGTCATGTCTGGAAGTAGAAGTGAAATTGAGGCTAAAAATGAGAAGATTATTTGCAAGTATTTTTATGGATAGCTCATTAAGACTGTTTTACCCTCTTTTTTTTTTTTTTTGAGACGGAGTTTCGCTCTTGTTACCCAGGCTGGAGTGCAATGGCGCGATCTCGGCTCACCGCAACCTCCGCCTCCTGGGTTCAGGCAATTCTCCTGCCTCAGCCTCCTGAGTAGCTGGGATTACAGGCACGCACTACCATGCCCAGCTAATTTTTTGTATTTTTAGTAGAGACGGGGTTTCACCATGTTGACCAGGATGGTCTCGATCTCTTGACCTCGTGATCCACCCGCCTCGGCCTCCCAAAGTGCTGGGATTACAGGCTTGAGCCACCGCGCCCGGCTTGTTTTACCCTCTTACAACCCAAGTTTATCCTTTGAAAAAAGATAAATAGCATAGTCTTTGGTCTCGGAAACACCAGGTGTCTGTTGATGGCCTGGATAAGATCAGGAATCCTAGGTTAAAATTGGGCATAGTAAATATGGAGTTCTTGAGTTAGGCTTATTAGTATCCAGGATTAAAAAAAAAATTGACCATATCTTCTCTAGAGAATCCGAAGGACCCAAAAGAAAAGGCCCCAAATAAAGATACTTTCATTATCATAGAGAAATGGCCTAATTGGATCATCCTAATCTGATGATCAGAGTCAAGCTCCACATATGTGTAATCAGCTTTTTTGGTCACTGCTAAATACGAGCATATTGCCAAAAATTACCCAGATATCTAGAAGAAAGCATCTATTATGGTATGAAAGGCTAAGACCAAATCAACAGGAGAGAGAAAATAACTTGGAAAAAACAAGTTTTTGAAGGGAAAAGAAAAAATATAAACTATTATTAATATCTTTAGCCAAAGAAGTAATTGTAATTGTAAAACAAGAGCAAGATGATATTTAAAAGGAAATTGCAGAAGTCAAGCCACTTAGAAACTGAAGTTTAAAATATTCCCCCCAAAACCCAAAACATACATGATACACAGAAATGAACAACTTTAATAAAAGGCTTAAAGATAAAATTGAAGAAAGGTTCCAGAAAGTATAGCAATTGAAAGGATACGGAAAAAACAGAATGGAAATGGTAAGAAATTTAGAGGACCAGTGTGAGGTCAGACGTCTATAAATAATTGAAGTTTCAGGAGAAGGAAGTCATTAATGACTTTAACAGTGACAATTATTTATTCAAGAAGATTTTCCCAGCCTGAGGGACATTGAGTTTCTTCGTTAAAAGGACCTACAAATTTCCAGTCTAATGGATGGTTAAAAAGAGAAATTAATTATACCAGAGCTTGTGATCCTATCTCTTGGGTTAAAGAAAATTCTTCAGGTTTTCAGAAAAAAGAAAAGCAAAATGATATTGGAACTAATACAATGGAATATTGCCCAGCAAAGAACAAACTACTGATATATGAATAGCACCAATTAATTTGAAAAACGTATTGAGCAAAATAAGCTAGACACAAAAGAGTACATACTATATGATGCCATTTATATGAAGTTTAGGAACAGACAGAATGATTCTATGGTAACAGAAATCAGAACAGTGGTTGCTTGTAGGTATTGGGAGGGATTGGCTGGAAAGAAGCATGAGGAATTTCTGGAGGACATTTGCTGGATCTCGATTGTGACATGGGTTACATGTTTGTATACGTCTGTCAGAACTCATCCAGTTGAACACATAAAGGATCTATATATTTCACTGTATGTAAATTTATCATTGATTTAAAAAATAACTATAAAAGAGGTACTGGGTTTTCTCAACAGCGGCACCAGTAGTCAGAAGACAATTTACTGCCTTCACAGTTCTAAGTGGAAACCTGCGAGTCTATACTCAATCAAACCATGAATTAATGTGAAGGTAGACTAAAGATATTTTTAACATTCAGGGTCTCATAAAATTTGCTACCAGTACTCCCCTTCTCAGGAGGCCCCTACATGTTACCTGCTACCAAAATGAAGAAGTAAACCAAGAAAGGATCTTTGGATTCAAGACAAAGGTGGGTCTACCTGACTCTAAAGATGAGGCGACTCTCCAGCATGATGCTGATGAAAGAGTTCAAGATGATAATTGTGCAGTAGGTCTAGAGAGCAACCATTTCATACTGGACCAGGTTGGAAGACTTAAAGAGATTTCTTTGAGAAGATAAAAATGATAAAATACCTGATATATATAAATATCCTGAAAAAAGATTTATACAACTAGGGAAGACTTTGGGTTGAGTCAGAAATGAAAACTAAGCAAGTAGAAAAAGAATCACTTTAGGGAAAACAATGTGAAGGAAAAGTAAAATCACTTACCATAGTTATAATAATGTAAATATTGAAAATTGATGTTCCTGAAGTTGTGATTTAACTATTGTGAGAAGATGAGGGGATGGGCAGAATGTTGATTGGGGCAAGAGATGCAAAACAGTGTAACCCTTATTTTCCATTGTGGAATCAGTAATGCCTAAAACCCTGAAGTAGCATCTTGTACAAATGTTACTTAGAGATTTGTTCTTGTAAAAACAAAAAGGAACAAGTTAAAAAAAAATTGTCACTTTTTTGGGAGGCCGAGGCAAGGGGTGCTTTTGGAGAATGGGAAATGTACATGGGGCAAAGGACTTCTGTTTTTTGTAGCAAGTTTTATAAAAATGATTTGACTGTGAATTATATGCATTTGATTTCTATCAGAATGTCAGAACAAAATAAAAATAAAATCAGTGACTCCTGAAAAAGTAATTTGGAAGAATATATACCAACATGTTAATTGTGATTTTTGCTGACTCATGAGATTACAAGTGATTTTCTTTTTTCTTTTTTTTTTTTTTTTTCCAAATTTTCTGTGAACTTGGATGACGTTTGTAATTGAGAGGGGAAATATATAAATGTTAGTTATTCATTTCCTGTATAAGAAGATGAAGGTGAAGAAGTTAATATATTCATAAAGCCACCATTGATGTTCAGAAGGGGAACATCTCTCAGGGTGAATTTCATCTAGCAGAGAAAATTCATTTTGATTGAGACAGTGAGGAGATAGAAATAAATGAGATTCTTAGAGAAATGATGCAGCTGTTAGAGTGCCTGTGTATATAAATATACGTTGTCTTCATTTAATCTTCATTTCAGTAACTCCTTTGTATAATTTTAAAAACTTTTTAGTTTAGTAGCATAGTAACATTTAATGTACATTGTAGTATTGTATATAATGTCATTTAAAGAATACTTGAAAGCTTTAAGAAATTTAAGTTTACTGCATCTACTGTTTTTATATTAAACTTTCCCTTTTTCTTTTAACAGAGAAACAGGAAAAGGAAATTGACATCTATGCTAACCTGTCTGATGAAAAGGCTTTCGTGTTTTCAGTCGCCTTGGCAGAAATAAATAGAAAAATTATCAATCAAAGACTTATTCTCTGATACTTGTCTGCAAAATCTGCTGAAACTTCCATCAGGATTACATCAGCACAGTTATGGACTCTCAGGAGCATTCTGACTGCATCAATAAGGGCCATTGATTGTTTCTTTCTCTCCTGTTGTTTAGCCTGTGCCACACTTTGGGGAGCAAAACTGTGTAGGCTTGGACTGTTCTGGGATTTCCTTGTTTACCAAGGAGTATTGTCAGTGTTTTGTGTTTGGGATATAAGTAAGTGTATTTGCCAAAAAAAAAGTGCTGGATGGATGTTAAAGGATAAAAAGTGATGGGGTATGGGTTAGGTATGAAAACTAGGGTAGTAAGATGCTTGTTTTCAGGTTTGCCAGAGATGCAATATTTTAAATACTGTCAGAAAGAGTGATTTTTAAAACTATATATTTCAGATTTTCAGCGCTAACAGATTGCATATATACAGTTCATTTACTTTTAGTAAATTGGCAATATTTTATTGAATGGGGAATTAAGAATATAAACTGTAAATTTTGTCTTAAATTGATTTTTTTTTCTTGCCCTTTATTTTTATTACTTAATGTATGAGTTATATTTTAGGAGATACTTTCTAGACAGTTTGAAGTTTGGGTGCTATATGAAGAAAAACCTTAAATGATATACTCAGATATAAACACCTTGTTTTCTTGAATATAATTTATTTATTAGTTAAAAAAGAAAACTTCTGCTCTCAAGACCGTGCCTGTTAACCTAAACATGAAATATATTTATTACATGCAAAATATTTCTTAAGCGGTAATGTTTTATCTGAATGGATATTCATTTATACATCCTGATAATTATTTAAATTGTTACTTTACTTTCACTCTAGAAGAAAAAATAAAAATCAATATTGAAACTAAGTAAATTAAATAGTGTGATAAAAGTTTTCTGTTCTAGTGAAGTTTGTGAAATATATTTAAATTCTTAATTTTTCTAGTGTTAAATCATAATCATTTATAGTTTATACTAAATGCTTTTGCATTTTGGCATATCAATTTAATGATGAACATATTCAAACTTGGGAATAATTCCCCTTATTTTCAGTCCCTTTTTCCCTCAATCTGTTTGGAAATCCTTTTAAAGCCTTCTTAGGGAAGATAGTTGCCAGTTAGATTTAGCCCCCTTTTAAGAGAAAATTCCTTTCAATTTCGACAGTATTGACAATATTGTCAATTTCATCCTTCATCCTGCATCAACACTTTTTTCCTACTTTAAATGG